ACCATTTGCCTGGTGAAGCCAATATTTTGCAAGGCCTCTTCTCCTTTGTTACCAATCAGCTCACGCATATCCACTCTGTAATTATTCTCTAGTATTAGTCAACTTATAGACGCAGCTGGGATCAAGATTTTGCACAATGGTGGATAATTAATTAAACAATGAAAACTTTGCTCGTGTATGACCATCATCAAATTACAAATGGATGAACTTCCTCACATTTGTCATTTAACCTTTATTTGACAACCATTTTTACAAAACCCTTTTTTTCCTCAAACTCTTTATTTACCGAACATTCTCACAATAAAATATTCTGCACGTAAACCCAAAATTCTTTCCTACTTTTTAATTTCACATTCTTCAAAAAAAAAAAGTAATCATTTAACCTTTGTTTGACAACCATTTTTACGAAACTCTTTTTTCCTCAAACTCTTTATTTACCGAACATTCTCATAATAAAATATTTTGCACGTAAACTCAAAATTCTTTCCTACTTTTTAATTTCACATTCTCCAAAAAAAAGTACCTATTTCAAAACTCATTTTCCCCCCAAAAAATAAAAAAATAAAAATTAAACAACCAACTTTTTTTTGTTATGGTTGTCAAACAAGACTTAATATAGTAAGCATATACTACAAAGTCAATCGTTGTTTTCAGTCAATCATAAAACACGTATGGTACATATTCGTACATAAATATGAGAACTGAAAATTTTTGTTAGATACTTTTATTGCATATTTCGGCCTAGAAATTCAAGTTCAGCTTATGAAATATGCAATTAATGAGTGAAAAATGACATACTCTTTTGCCAAAGGAGGAGATTTGTTTGGTCCTGGTGCTGCATCGACATTCCTAAGAAGAAGAGTATCTGGTAAGAGGCCGTGCATCCTATAAACACTCACAAATTCCTCGGTCAACGAATATGGGACGCCATGATTGTTAGGCTTCTTTAATCCCACAAGGCCGCCCAATATGGCTCCTCCAACATGTCCAAATGTATCTTTAAACTTCTTCCCCAGCAATCCATACCTTCATAAAACAAAAGCCGCAAAATTAAATATGATCCATCAAAATTTTAGATTCCAAAAACTGTAATTTATATTTGAAACATTGAAGGAACTAGTTAAACATGACACATCCAGGGATGGACCAAGGATTATGGTTAAGTGGGGACGAGATAGAAAATTGGCTAAAAGAAATTGTGAAAGAAACCAAAAAAATCTGAAAACTTAAATTTAAAAAGCCTAGATGAAAGTATTTGAAATTCAATGGAGGCGACTGCACCAACTGGGCACGTACCCCTTAACTCCCATGTCAATTGCCGTGATACGTATAAACATAGAACTGACATTTAGTTTAGAAGTAGATTTGAGAAATTTTGCAGCGATTTATAACCTTAAATGTGTGACGGAACAAGCTTAGAATTCTCCTTGTGATCATTTTATGTATAATATAAATCATTTGTTTGTCTTACGAACAATGCTACATGTACCAACGGGTTTGCCAAATGGAGTTATAGGATGCCAAATGGTAACATTTCATTGGAGTTTGAACAAAAATCAAATTTAAAATAATCAATAAGGTGCTGTCATCTCAGCACCTGTAGACCGTCCTGTACGATTCATCTGTTTTACATATTTACTCTTTTTTAATTTCACAGATGTTAGGAAGTTGATTTACCAATTTCCACGCATTCCAGCACGTAACATGTCTGTCTTTAGAAGCTCAACTGTCCAATCAATTGTGTGAACTTTTGCAATCACAGCTGAAGTCACCAGCCTTGCATGCCGATACAGTTCCTCGTCCTTCAAATCAGGGTATTCCTTCTACAACCCACAAGTGAGAAAGTTCAGTACATATAAATAATAATCTGCTGCGAATAAACAAATATTGGATCGATGTATTTATGATGTGAATAGGTAAATTTTCGAACACCTTCAAGGCATCACAGACTGCATTGTGTTCCTGGACAAACAGGGCATGTAATGTGGAGAGACCAGACCATATATTACGAACATCACCAGAAATAACTTGGCCATCTTCGTGAGGAAGAAGGCCATTTTTTGAAATCTTGAGCTTTCCATCCTTGAAAGTCCTTACTTTCTGTAAAGTTTCTGCATTGCTACCATAAATAGCACTCCCATCCCTTCATATATGTATTTATTATATGTGGGAGTGAGAATCATATAAAAATAAATGTTTAGAAGATCAAAATAGATCATGTGATTTGTGAATTGGATATGTAGTAAAAATTTTGCTAGACACGGGAATGATTCTCATGAAGCTAAAACCCCTTGACATTCATTTCTTGAAACTTATGTT